AACAATTCAATTCCTTTTCATGAATTCTGGAATCTGCTGCTGGAGCAAGATGCTTCACTCTCTTATCTTGGGCTTGGTACAGAACATATCATATGCTTCAGCATTTTGCACAATGTCACCTCAAACATTAGCAATGCTAAATTAAGCAAGACTGTATTGACAGAAGAAAGGAACCTTCACTAGGTATCCTGACAAGCCCTTTTGGGGTCAAAGCAGAGCTTCCAGCCATTAAAAATAAACCTGAAAGAAGACATATCTTTGCAATGACACATCCAGGCTAAATTTAATACTGTCCACCACAAAAACCTTTCTACCTGTGAACTTAGTTTTAGCTGTAGAGAATTCCATCTCTTACCATTTCTCAAACTGCACACTGACCATTTCTCTGCAAATATTACTATGGAAGTTGAAGTACAACAGAAGGGAAGGTGTTATGCTTTTCCTTTGCACTGTGTTTTGCTATCTAGATTGATTCTCAATATTTTTTTTTGTTTGATTGGAGAAAAATATAAGTAATTGCAAAATGACACTTTTCCCCCAGCACAGTAACAACTGATTTGTATATGGGTAGATATAGATAAGGAATAGCATTTTTGGTGCTCCACACCAAAGTGCAGCACCGCTCTATTTTGCTTTAAAATGAAACACAGCAACAAAACATGTCAGTCAAAGGATCTGGCCACAGATATGCCATATCACATCTACTTCACCCTTCAGAATACAAGCCCTCAGGTAAGAGAACACTAGAGTGCTTGAATTTGTGGGTGCTTTTTCTCTTTTCACTTTCTCATTACATTAAATGACATAGATAGGAAACTAACCCTACAGCTGACATTAATTCACTACATGCCCTTAGTTGTTCATTTTCAGTTTCTAATTCTGCATCTATAAAATTGGGGAGGATAGCAATCTCTCCAACATAAATGATGTAAGGCTGAAAAATAATAAAGCAGACTTGCATATAGCCACTTGTCTGGTTAGTTTTAATGAGTGAAAACTGCCCCCAAGGCAATGGGTCAGGAAAGCTTTGGCAATCTGGGGGGAATAAATTCTCTTCCAGCGCTTATGTATCACAAACAAACAAAAAAGACCAGACTATTCTGGTTTTTTAGTAAAAGAGCTCTGAGATGGCTGTGATAGAGGTTTATAAATTATTGGTGTTATGGAATATATGGATAGAAAAAGTTTTTTCTTATTCATATACAACACTATGGACGTTATCACATGGGGCCTAAAGCAGTCCCATCCCCGTCCCATTGTGGTTCCTTTTCAATCCAGAACTTACCGGCAAAAAGAAAGCAGCATCATTCCGGTATCATTCTGGTCGCAGCAGAAATGTAATTCCCAAAAGAATCCGGCATTCAAAAGAACGGGGATGATGCCGGATGATGCTGCAATGGGATGGGGATGGGACGGGGATGGGTGCGATGGCGTGTGAAGACACGGGGAAAAGAACCGCAATGGGACGGGGAAGGGACGGGGATGGGCGGGGTTTCTCTGCGACGTCGTGTGAACACAGGGGAAAAGGAAGCGGAATGGGACAGGGATGCAATGGGGATGGCACTGCTTTAGACCCCGTGTGATAACGTCCTATGTGATAATTTACTCAATGAGATTAATGGGTACCAGGGATGGACAAAGAAAAGGAAATACTGTCCTTAACATAGAACTCTCTGCCGCAAAGAAGAAGCAATCTTTTTTATGCATTCTTGAATGGCTCATAAGGAGGGTTAGAAATGTTCATAGTGAATAGGCAGTGGTTATTAGTCACAAAACTTAACTAAAAATTCCATGTTTAGAGACAGTTTACTTCTGGCAATCAGTTTCAGTGAACACTCTGCTTCTAGGTTTCCAAAAGATATCAACCTATGGCTTGGGTGTTGTTATATCTGAAAGACTTGTCCTCCCATATGAGCCCCTATGGGACTCCCAGAAGTCATTGTATAGCATGTCCCACCATCTTCAGAGACTTAGGTTAATGATGCAGAGCTTTCTCTACAGCAGCATCTCAGTGATGAATTTCTTTCCCAAATCCCAAGGGAAGCCAAGCTGGTTCTATCCTTGTCGAACTTCTGGCAGATGGTCAGAAACAAGTTGTTCTGTTTAGTCTTCATTTCTTAAAAAGTGAATTCTAAATTTGTTTTAACCTGCTTTTAAAGAAATGTTTTTAATATATATTACTGTTTGTTATTTTTGGGAGCCCTGGTAGACCAAAAAGTGATTAACACTTTTAATAATAAATAAATAGCTAGCCACTGCTCAAAACAGAATGCTGGATGTGATGAAACTTTAGTCTGATCCAGTGAGGTCTTGCTATGTTAATTTTTTGTGTAGACCACAAGCCTTTGTGGTGTTATTGAATATATTGAATACTGAATAGGCTACTGCACTATATTGAATGACAAAAGGGGGATAATTATGGTTCCCATAATTCTTCTCATCAATAATCTGTACAGGCATTTCATTATAATAATCTACATATTAAACAGGCATTGAATGCTGACATGCTAAATATTCTCCTAAACATGCATCTGACAAAGGAGAGCATCGCACAGCTTAAATACCCGTCTTACTTCTCCTGAACTGAAGTCTAATTTGGGCTGCAGATAGATCCTATTGCATGGCTTTTGTTGCCAAATCCGCCAGTGGAGTTTAGCCCGGATGCAGCCCAGGTCTTAGAACACGCTCCTGCAGCCATTTTTCAAAGCCTGAAAGCTCCAGATTTTGCAAAATCCATGTTTTGGGACTCGGGCAGCAACCGGGCAATAGTCCAATTCAGATTTGGCAACAAAAGCCATGTAATAGGACCCATCTGCAGCTCGAATTAACTTGAATTTGGGAGAGGTAAAACGGGTTTTTAAGATGTGCAATAATCTCCAAAATTTAGTTCTTCAGTATAACACTGTTCTCTACAAAAGTGTTACAAAGTAAAAATGAAAGGCACCTCAGTAAATGTATCCTTCTAATCCTAAACACCTTAAGGTGGCATGTCTAACTGGTTTCAACAGAACAGATTACCAAAAGAGAGGGTATTACTTGGTAATTTGATAGGCAAGTGTTTAGTTAGTAGTTACAAGCCCTACTGAGGTTCTCTGTAGCCATATGATAAATTGGAACAATATAAACAAATAAAATATTGGGCCAAACGTGCATAATGGAATAGGACATACAACACAGAATAAAACTATTGACCAGATAGTGACCTTTTCTTCTAGGATAAAATGCAAGCAGCAATGGTTTTACAGTTGAACACTCCAATCTGACTCAACTGTTGTTCAAGTTGCCATCTGAAAGGCCACAGCATTCAACTCAGTAAAGTGGAACGCACTCTAAGAGGAAGACCACCTTAGAGATGGATTGATTTAAGGAAGGCTGAGTCTCAGCAAGACGGCTGCGGCTCTTGGTGGTCTCATTCAGAGGACTGCAGGAAGTCAAAATTGACATGATATCAGGATACTACCACAGATGAAAGAGATCAATAGCAGTGTTCTTTTGAAGCTCCAGTTCATTTCAGGATTATTCAAGAGCACTTCCCACTGAACTGTTTCTTTTATAAATTCTGGACTCAGAAACACATTTTGAAAGTTATGCACATGTCCTTCTTTTGCATTATTTAATGTATTTGGGTGGTATGTTGGCATAATTTATTCTGCTTTTCCACCAAATTATAAGGAGTGCATGGCGCTTGGCTTCCTAAAATTACTAGTCCTGCTCCTCACAGGTGGCTGTGAAGTCATCCATGTTCAAACTTTTCTTCAGTATTCACAAGGACTACGGTATGTATTTTTTTCTTCTTAGAAAAGACCATTTAAGTAGAGGGGACAATATAATGGAGTAGCTCTTCAGTATCATATTTAAAGCAATTCCTCTGTGAAAGACTGTGGCAGCATATAACAACCAAAAAACCCCAGTTTGACAAACTGTTAGAGAAGTGTTAATATAAAATACATACTAATCTTCATTTAGCTCATAATTAAGGGAGAATGGCAGTTAATGTGAAGACAGATATAGCAAGCATGGGAGTAGTTTGAAGACACTTGCTGAAATATCTTTTCAAGCATTTACGGCAATGAATGTTTGTGAAAACCAAGTATTTACACCTTTCTTCACACTCAGAAGCCCTTTCACTGCCCATGATAACACTGGGAATGTCCATATAGATGATTTATTTTAATGTACACTAACCTATTCCAAACCTTAATTAATCCCTGAGAGTTGCCTATTCTAGCCTGCTAGAGCAAATAAATAATAAATCTGTTCCTACCCTTCTTTAGTTTCTGCATTTTTTTAAAAAAAAACCCATCTTTTAAAAAACAAAGCAAAAAAGAAGCAGTAATCAGGAAAGCACTTCTAAACTGTCATTACCCAAAGCGGCACAGATTCCTCTCTGCTCATTAATCACAATATCAGGGTGGCACATGGAAACACTAAGGACAAACACAGAACAAGAGCTTTCAAGCTGGGAAGAGGCCAGGCCACGCTTGGCTCCAACTGGCTCTACAAAGATTTCCATGGGATGATACTAATACATCTCTGTGCCACCGCTCTCCCAAATGCCTGTCTGTCCCCACAAAGCATTTGGCTCCTTCTAAGGCCAGGGGGCTTTTCTTTGGCTCTGGGAGCAGCTTGCCAGCTCTGCTTTCCAAGCTCATCATTGCAGCGGCTGGACCACAGGAACACTTTTTCCCCTCCTCTTCCATTTGCAGGCATTACATCACCGCTAGGGTTTGGGCCATTGCTGCTGCTGCTGCTGCTGCTGCGACATCTGCTAATTACCTCTGGCTTCCTTCCTGCCTCCTTGCCCTGCCTGGCTCTCCAGCTGGAAACCTGAGCATTGAAGCAAAACAAAGAGTCAACCTGGCTAGCTGCTAAAACTGTTTTTCAAGGGGTGGAACCTGCAGCAAAATTTGGGTAGGGAGTTTCAAGTTGCCAAAGGAATTGGGAAAGGCACACTGGCACTTCAAAGCCGCAAAGGGCACACACTCCCCCTGGCATTACGAGGAAGGAGCCAGTCTAATGGTCTGAGCATTGGACTTTGACTCTGGAGACCAGGGTTCAAATCCCAGTTCATCCATGGAGACCCCAAGGGTGACTTTGGGCAAGTCACACTCTTTCAGGCTCAGAGGAAGGCAATGTCAAATCCCCTCCGAAAAAACTTGCCAAGAAAACCCTTAGGGCTGCCATTAGTCAGAACTGATTTGAAAGCACACAACAACAACAATTTATGCTCACCTCTCTCCTCCACCCACTTGCCCCATTTATGGGACACTGTTGCTCTCTGTCATTATATATGGTAGGAAGACCACCACCTTGAGAAGCAAAGCAATCCTTTTCTCACTTGCCACCCTTGAACAATCTGTCTTGGCTCCCCCTCCTGTCTGACCAAGATGTGCCCTGTTTGATGTTTACTACAAAAAAGAAAGGAGGGAGGACACCTGTATTGCAAAATATACCCTGACATGACAGCCAGGCTGGTGCAGTGGTTTGAGCCTTGGACTATGACTTTGGAGACTAGGGTTTGAATCCCTGCTGGGCCATGCAAACTCACTGGGTGTGCCTGGGCAAGTTACCTTCTCTCGGCCTCAGAGGATAGCCATGGCAAAACCTTCTCTGAACAAATGTTGCCAAGCAAACCCTATGATAGGGGTGCCATAAGTTGTTGAAAATAACTTGAAGGGACACCACAGCAACAAAGACTGGAAATCAGACACACAAAAGCCTCCTTGGTCTGGAAGACAAAGTGGAACAAACAGAGGAAGCCCTGCTTTGGGTGTTTGTTTTCCTTTCAATGCTCTGCTTTGCCTTTGCTTAATTAACGCTGCATTCAGGGGCCACAACAAACTACAATTCCCAGAATTCCACACCTTTGGGCCACGGCAGTTAAAGCAGTCTCAAACCAGATTATTTCTGCAGTGTGGATGCTCTGCCTCCATCCTGAGGGGAATTCAAGGGAGCAGAGCTCACCTTTTGGGGGTGGTTTGGGGGCCACCTTGAAAGACAAACCTACTTCCTTTTTTCTTGTTTCTCCCACAGGCTGTCATAATAACTAAACCTCAAGAATAAATAAATAAGAACATAAAAAGGAAACCAGGATGCCCATCCTCTGAGGCCAGATGTCGTCCTTTTCCAAGTTTTATTTTATGTCCAGGAAGAATGCCAAAATGTCCTTTATTTTGAGCATGACTAAGAAGCATAAATTTATATTTCTATGAGTGTTTTGAGCTTTTATTTCGTCATGTCCTCCACTTCCACCTTCTATCCAGGAGGAGTTCCCAGATGTTCTCCGTTTTGAGGAGGAAAACTCCAGGAAAATGGGAGGATATGCCCAGATCAAAGCTCAAAACACTCCTAGAAGTATAAAATCCAGGCTTCTTAATCAGGCTTAAAATGGAGGACTTTTGGGTGTTCTCCATGGACATAAAATATAACCTCAAAACATTCCAGTAAATATAAATTAATGCTTCCTAGCCAAGTTCAAAATGGAGGAAATTCTGGAATTCCTCCTGGACATAAAATAAAACTTCAAAACACTCAGATAAATATAAAATCCATGCTCCTTAGTTTTGTTCAAACTGGAGCACATTTGGGAATTCCTGTTGGACAGAAAATAAAAGCTCAAAACACTAACATAAATATAAACCCATGCTTCTTAGTCAGGCTCAAAATGGAGGACATTCTCCTGGGCATAAAATAAAACATCAGAACCCTCATATAAATATAAATCTATGCTTTCTTAGGCTCAAAATGGAGGACATTTGGGAATTTCTCCTGGACAGAAAATAAAAGCTAAAAACACTAATAGAAATATAAAAATCCATGCTTTTTTTTAGTGGTGCTCAAAATGGAGGACATTCTCCTGGCCATAAAATAAAATCTCAAAAAAACCTCATATAATAATAATAATAATAATAATCATCATCATTATCCATGTTTTTTAGTCATGTTCAAAATGGAAGACATTTGGGAATTCCTCTTGGAGAGGAAATAAAAGCTAAAAGCACTCCTAGAAAAAATCCATGCTTTTTTTAAAATGGTGCTCCAAATGGAGGACATTCTCCTGGGCATAAAATAAAACCTCAAAACCCTCATATAAATATAAATCCATGCTTTTTAGTCATGTTAAAAATGGAGGACATTTGTGAATTCCTCCTGGATAGAAAATAAAAGCTAAAAACACTCCTAGAAATCTATT